TGTTGGAAAACATGTACTTTTTCAACTTTCATGAGTCACCATGAAGAAAATTATAAAATGATTTGGCTGCAGATCTGAGATGTGCTGGAAGCCTGTTGGTCATGGGTTTTCATGGCATCATGGAGTGTTTAGCGAAAATGCAAGGACCAGACTGAGGAACTGCTCTGTTAGGGATATACTGTAAAATCCTTTTCCAAACAGAGATTAAACAAGCTATCTTTGTGTAACCATGACAAAGAAAAACCTGTGATCACATTTCTGAGGGCAGGATGTGTGGTCATTCAAGCTTTTTGGTTTGCACTTCATATCAACTGAAATGTAGAGGTAGAGGTAGAGGTAGAATGTGCATCATTCGTGTGAGCAACTCAGGTTCTTTAAGGTCTCATACCAAAAGCCCTCCAGTTGGAAGGACCTAGCTTTGATCTGCCATAATTTCACGTGTCTGCTCTGCTGATGAAGATAGTGCTTGGAAAATCCCTTTGAATCTACAGCTGTCTCCAGTTTTTATTTGGATTCCTGGTCATGTAAAAATCCATGACCCTCTACTTGTACTGTGTTTTGTGTATTTATTCATAAGAATAACAGAATCATATGAATACCAAACATTTAGTCATTTAATCTATCCCTGTTATCCCAAGAGACAGATCTATAGGTTCGAACCCTAGACTGTATATAAAGATGGACGACATGTCAGCTCCCCAGAAGTGAAGCGCCTCGATCGCCCCCTGATGGCTGACTGCAGTATAGGTCCTTCATCATGCCCTCCAACACAGGACATGGACCAAACTAAAAAGTAAAAGTACACGTCCAATGACTTCTATTCAAAGATGGTTTCTGTCATTAATTAATTTAGTTGTTATCACACTGATGTTTGTTTGTTTGTTCCACTGCTCATTTTTCTAAAGTTTGGTTTTAGCAAATTATTTGAAGCTGTAAAAGTGCACATATCGTTAAGACCTCAATACCCCGGCTCCATCCCCCGATCACTACTGCACAGACTCTGGCTCAAGATGGCAGCATTTGTATCCAGGTTATTTTGGCTTCATGTCTGGAAAGTGGGAGGACGTGAAGATGCATCATCCATCTTTATATACAGTCTGTGGTTCAAGCTAACCATTACTAACATTGGTCTGAACTTTCCAACCCACAAACACGTCCTTATATTGAGATTAGTTCACCCATTCTCTGCTAAATGTAATGTTTGATGAAGCAAACATTAACCTGCTAATCGTGTGTTAGCCATTTGGTGTGGAGATTAAACACACACACACATACACACACACAAACACCTGATGTATAGAAATTGGTGATAAATCATTTCAGTCTAAATCAACATAAACAGTATTTCAAGTCAAGTCAGTTGAATCTCAATAGCCCACAGACTGTACATGAAGTCAGATGGCAAAGCTGCCCAAAGATTAAGCCAAAGCCTCTAAATGTTCCCCTGCTGGCTGGTTGCAATATAGGTCATAAACTCTGCTTTCTCCATGTTAATGGACGGGGCATGGGCCTATGTAATAAGTCAGTCAGTAAATGATTAATTATTTTTTCTCAAAGATGGTTTCCTTTATCCTAAGTAGTTCTACACTAATAAATGTCAAAGTACTTTCTAACTGGTTATTTAATGCTATAAAAACAGGGTCAAATGTTATGATTGTATCGATGAGACTAACTCACGATTGGGTGAGCGTGTGTTTGTGTGAGACCATGATATTGATGCTCCACTGTCCGTTCTCCAATCTCATCTGTGCAAACTCTGGCTCCAAATGCACAAGATGGCGATGATTGTCTCCAGGATATTTTGGCTTCATTTCTGGACAGGAAGAAAGTGAAGACACATCACCCATCTTTACTAACAGGCTATGCTGTATCCCAAAAACATAAATGAATACTGCCTGAAACACAAAGACAGACAAATAACTATACAACACTGAAAATCATTCATTGTTCTGCTCAGGTGTAAATGAAAAGTGACTTTCAAGGACACAGTCTTTTAACGGTGACTGTGAGTTGCTAAATCTTGCTGAGGTCTGGAAAGTATTGTGCCACCTTTTAAAAATCAGTGCTGCCTGATTCCTCAACAAATTTGTGAAACTGATTTGGTTTGCAGCAGACTGTGCAGACCGGGTCCACAACTTAAAAGTGCTATGTGAAAGAAGTGTGTGAAAACCTGTGTGAGGTGCACAGATGGAGGAGAAAAAATAAACAGGATTGGTGTTCCGACAGATACGGATAGTGATCATTCAATCATTTAATGTGTTCAGCAAGTTCAGAGCCTAAGCTTTCCATGGAAACAACACACTCTGAACAACACAGGTTTGGTTTAAACAGTAATTGGCCATTTTGCTTTTTTTCAAGAAAAAGGGAATTGTTCCTGTCCAGAGGGTTTGCATGCGAGAAGGCAAATGTTTGAGTTGTTTGATTGATTTTCTAAAACTTTCTCAGATAAAATTTGCAGCTAGCGAGTGCTGATGATGTCTGTAACACACATCAGAGGCAAAAGGGAAAAAAAAACAAATGAAATACAAATAAATTAGGATGAAAAAAAGTGCTATACACGAAGAAGGCACAGAAAAATATGTCAACTTGGAATAACAACAATATTCGAGATTTTGATGATGAGGGTCAAAGTGTTGATGTACTGTAAAACAAAAACACGTGAATTCTGCACTGGAATTTTTATATTATGTCCTTCCTGCTCTATCCAGGCGCCACCCCTGGCCTGAATGTTTCGGACATTTTACAGTTGTTAACACATTTGACCCAGACAATGTCCTGCTGTGTTCCTCATGTGTGAAGGAGCAAATTGGGTGCGGACATTTTCTGGAGTTAATGTTGGAAAATGGCTTCTGATGGATGCAGAAGCTCTATATATAGAGGGCCTGCATGAATACTTGTGTTAAAAAATAAATGTGACTATGAAGTTCTTTGAGTGGTCGTTAAAACTAGAAAAAATGAGTCCATTTACCGGTTAACTAACTCATCGCTTTGTTTGGTTTAACTTTTAGAAAAAGGCCTGAGGTCAAAGAATGCCGTGTTTGCTGAAGAATGCTAAACGGTCGTAATCATCTCTGTATTTTCAGACAAATCTGATGAAAAAGGCCACGGTTCTGGCTGACCTCTGATTTTCTGATTTGGTTTTTTCATGTTCCCCCAGACTTGGCAGCACATGACAACTAAAGACCTGTAACAGGAGTGATCTGACATGAGTATAAATACCTTCCATGGATAATTGACCCTTTTCCTGGACACACGCACTCCAAAGATCAAAGGGTAAATCCTTTAGACTCCAAGAGCCACTGATTAAACACATTTCACAAGTATTTCCCTCCATATCCAGGGCAGCTCGAGCGAAGACGTATGAGATGTATTTCATTAAGTTTTATCGCCCCCCTCTCTTGTGTGTTGTCAGTTACATATGTAAAATGTGTGTGAGAATACACATGCCTATGTATGTGCATGTATGTTGCTGTGTCTAACTATGTATATCACATACATTTTTAGCAGGCGAGGGGAAGTGACTTGGCGCGCTGCCAGCCAAGTCTCAGTGTTTCTCAAGGAAGACAAATGACATTGTTCCAGGAGCAGATACCAGCTTTGCTGCCAAATCCCTGCCGGCTGGACTGAAATTTCAGCCATGTAAAGGGAGCAGGAGTGGAGCGGGGGCCCTGACAAAAGATGACATTGGCTTGTAAGTTTTAGGCGATGACGCTCAGGGGGATTCCATTGTGTGGCTGTCACACAGCATTAGGCGAGAGAGCAAACACTTTCATGTGTGGATTACCATTTACCCATTGGAGATAACAGATATTTGCCTTAGCTAATCCATCCCTCTATTGATTTTTTTCCCCTTTAATAACTTCTTGCAAGCAAGCAAATTTTAATAAGTGCAAGAATGCTGACGTGTAAGAGGCTTGAACAAAGGGGCTGCGTTTGACACAGATAAGCTGCTCAATAGGTTTCATACAAACAGAGATGTAAAGATCAGTCATTATAACTTTATCTGTAACAAACCATATGTGTAAACACAGTGTGGTTGTATTACATGAAACCTGGTTATTAATCTTGAAGGATTGAAGGATCTTGGATAAGAGATAAAGACATGTTAAGGTTTTTTGTTTCTATTTGTGTCAATTTCATCTTACTCACAGAATACCAATAATGAATTCTTGTAATTTTTGCACTTTTGACCACTGTGACTTTTTCTGATAAATGCTTTCACACCGTTTTGGTGAGACCAATGGACACAGGACACAGGACAGAAATTGTTCTGTACTTTTTGGATCATTTCTGTCCTAGAGAGCTGAATTATGTCCAAGTTAGACAATCAGTTAGAACAGACAGGGACAGACTGTGTTTGCCATTAACTCCTGTCTGACAACTGCAGATCATATGCTACATCTATTTAGTTTGTCTATTTTTAACTTTAGGAAGTCTTTAAATATATATTAAACCCATTTAGAGAACTTAAATGACTCAGATTTCCCATCTTGTCAGAATCCTGTCATTGACATTTGCCCTGCCCCCTACTGCGACAACCCCCCTATGGAGTCATGTCACATGATGTCTCCCTATGTTTACAAATCGTTAAAGTTTGGTGATTTTCTGTATGGATGTTGTTAAATTTCATGAACAGGACAAAAGCAATAATGAATTGAACTGACAGAACTCTTTTTACTGTTCTTCAAAAGTTATTTTAAACTAGAATGGGTGAAAACACTCCTTGAGTTACTGTAACTATGTTTCCTCATGAAAACACTGCAGTTTATTTTGCAGTCGGAAACAGGAACTAAAGCAACAAAAGTGTTGAAAGTACAGTCCCCAATAAATACACAAGTTACTCTTGTTTGAGAAACTAAACTCTACACTGTCCTGCTGTTTAGTAAATGATATGAACAATTAAACTTTATGTCTGAGTTTCAGACAGGAAGTCACAGACAGGATTAAGGAAGTTAGGAAGACAGAACAAGACTTTGGTTTTTGGATTTGTTGACTTTAATAAAAATATCGAATATAACCCTCCTCATCCACAATCTACTGCACCATCTAAAAAACCAAAACCTTTTCACATTCTCAAATATAATTTTCTTAATTTTTGAACAAAGAAACATCAGCGTTGCAGTTATGGAATTAATAGCAGATACAATGACATTATTAACATACACTAAAATGGTCACATTAGAAAGGTATATCGATACTAAGATTCTTCCAGCACAGTTTATTGTAAATTAACAGGTAGCAGGAATCACACTTCTGCTCTTCTATACTTCTTACAATGCCACATGTCACATTTACAGCAGATTTAACCCATCAGTCCTACAAAGATATTGTTACAGTGATAAAGACTATGCAGGATTAAACTGTAAACTTTCAGTCGCATGTTTCAGAGCCACCAATAGTTGGATTTTTTGTCACTGAAAGTTTCTTGAGGGAGACACATTCAGATATTTGATTTCTTGGTCCTCGGCTTCGGCACAGGTGAAGGTTGTTTTGACTCAGTGACAGTGGACAGCTGCAGAGGGCTGTTTCCAGTCTGTGCTTCGGGTGGAGAAACATTTTGGTAACTGGCTCTCGGTGAAGGCTTGGGGCTCGGGGGACGAGGATCCTCAGTCGGGTGCATGGTCTCATACTCTGGGCTGATGGAACCCGGCTCTTGCTTGTTTAGAGAAAGCATTCTGACGTCCCCTTTCTCCCTGAGTCCTGTTTGAGTCCTGTTACGTCTGTAGTAGATTAATAATACGATGATAATGACGATCAGAAGCAGAATCACACTCACTCCTCCTGTGACTGCTGCAAAAACAGTTTTGGATGGAAAACAAAGCAAATTCGGTGATGGACTTCTGCAGTTTGGATGAACAGTGTTGCTCCTCTCCCTGCTGACTTTGTTTGCGACGCTACATGAGAAGCCCCTTGGCCCTTTCATATGCGCCAACGACACGCTCAACGTTTGTCTTATTTCATTTGTTAACATCACGTCATTGAGCATCCATGAGAAATCCAAACCCTGAGGTTTGGCTACATTGCAGTTTAGATTAGCAGCGCCGGACTTGACGTCACACACATAAGTTAGTTGAGGTTTTGATACCTTGCTCATCATAAAGAGACGACCCTGCCATTCTTTAGCCAAAGTATCGTCTGGATTTAACACAACTGCTTGGTAAGCGCCTGCACTGGAGAACTGCAGGTTCTTCAGCTGAAGAGATCCGTTTGCAGAAATATCTCCTGGCTTTCCAACATTCACTCGGCCTTGTTGTCCGAAAAACACGATTGTCTTATTGTGAGTCCATCTCAGCGTATGTCTGTTTGACAGTCCCACAAAGTCAAGAGGCAGAGTCAGACTCTGTCCAACTGCAGCATAGAGTTCGAATGCTTCCTTTGCTGCTGAGATGCTGACGAATCCAGACAGAATGATCACAGCAAAACATGCCATCATAAACAAGGGGAGCCCAAGATGTCTCTTCTGAATGTTGTCAAGAAATTTGTGATTAATAATCAATCACTTGAGTGATCTAATCCATTCAAGCAGTGATTGAGATGCCGTCCTGTGAAGATGAGACCTCACACTGACGACCCAAAATATAAGTGGCACACAAATGACAAATGCCAAGAGAGGTGACTCTTCAGCAGGAAGGAAAATCTATTAGCCAAGAGTCTAGTTTCAGTTCTCAGAAGATGACTAAAGTCATGTGTCAACTACCAGTTTCCACTCCTGTGTTTCAATCATGTGTTTAGAAATCTGCAGCTTATATATGTAATGTGGTTTGACTGTGATGATTCCAGGCATGACCTGATGGCAAAACAATTGTGGTCAAAGTATTTCTAAAGTTCCTAAAAAACACAAATAGTAGAGGAAATAAAAACAATAAGAAAAGAAAGAAGAGAAGGGAGAGTGAGAAAAGGTGTCATAATATAAGTAGTCTTAAGTCAAAATAATGAATACATAGCCATAATTAAAATTACAGTGTGTAGAATTTAGTGATATCTAGTGTTGACGTTGCATGTTGCAGCTGAACACCCCTCACCTCACCCTCTCCTTCCAAACATGAAAAAGAACCTGTGGTAGCTTCAGTTGTCATAAAAACTC